GGTTCTGCTTGGCGTGGCAGGGATTTGCGTCGTTTCAAAGACTCGCGTTGCCGTTGATCGGCCTGCCGCTTTTCCGTTTTGGTCTTTACACCAGCAGGTTTCTGTGTTACCTGTCGAAGCCAATATATCAATGCAGCAGCTTCTGATGCATGAATGAATAATATATACCTTAAAAGGGTTGTTTATAAAGAAAATCAACGAGAGTGCCGGGAAGAAGGTAAACTATACTTAAATAAAATTTTTATGGCTGGATTGTTTATATTTAAATCGAAAATAATTTTCTATGATTCGCGTTATTTCTTCCGGGAACTCTATTCATTTTATAGGGTGATTCACATTGTCTAGACTAATAACAGTTGTAAAAAGTGAAAAAAGCCAAATACTAAAAAAAAAAAATTAAATTCATTAATAATAAATATTATATACAGTATTTTAAAGTATTTTACATTTTAAAAATGAAAATTCATAATAGATTAAATTTTGTTTTAACTATATTAGTTTTCATTTTGAAAATAGCTATAATTTGTCTTCAATGTATGAATCACCTTGTACATAAATAACATGATTAAAAAATAGACACTCATTAAAAAATTTTAACTAATAGTATTTTTTTGATTTAGTTATCATTATGTTCGATTTCGAATTTCTTTTTTCAAACTAATACGATTAAAATTACTTTAAGACCAATATTTGGTCTTTTACATGATTTTATGCATGTATGTACTTTTCTTATGGTACATATCAAAGATATAAAGTTCTTTTTTTAATTTAATTTCGAATTCATAATTCATGCGGATATTTAAAGATAATCTCTGGATATTAATAAAATAATTTTTTTTTTTTTAAATATCGAAGGTAAAAGTTGAAAATCTGTCCTCTTTTATTGCACTTTTGATGAAAAAAGATAAATAAATAAATAAATAAAAAATAAAAATGAACTACGGCTTATTCTTGTGTCTACAATAAATATAAACGTTCTTTTTTTTTTCAAATTTTTCAACGAGGAATTCATTTAAAAATATCATGTTACTTAGGAATTTAAAATCATCATTTTCCTAATCATTTTTCATATGTATTAAATAGATAAGTTTATACGATATATATTTAGTTTCAAAGTATAATTAACAAATTTATTTAAAATTTAAAGAAACTATCTAATGATATCATTGCATATAATGCATTTTCTTCTCAAAAATAGAAAGCACAAAGCAATTTATAAACATAAAATATCCTCGTTGAAAGGAACGTGCGTAATAAGAATGTGTTTCGATACACGATTTACGTGCATATTCTCGTACTCGTTATATCGACGGAAAAAGGAGATGCGGGGGTAGGGAATTTGATTTTGGATTATATGAATCGTTTCACTTTTTTTCGTCCGGGTAAAAGTATAGACAATAGAAATGTTATAAAATGAAATGCTCTGTTACCTTGTAAAATGTGTTACATTTAACATCGAGGCGATGAATCTTTTTTTTTTTCGTTTAATGTTTTGTTTTCAAACGTGTTGTGAGCCGTAGTAGTACTGTTTCTATTATTATTATTTTTTTCTTTACTTTTTTTGTTTTTTCAGTTCCTTCGTTTTTATCTTGTTTCGTCGAACACACAAGTCAAATAGACGGACAGCTGTTATGCTTAAATGAATGTTGATTTTTCTTATCGTTAATGTTTTTTTAGCATTTTCTTTCTCTCTCTCTTTTCGCTCTCCCTTTCTCTCTCTCTTCCTCTCTCTCTTCTTTTATCTATCCCCAATATTTTTATTATTTTTATTTCTTTTTTTAGATTTTCTCGTTCTTTTCAATCATACAACTAATTCCAACAAATATACACGTACACGACCATACACGCGTATCGTAAGTATTTAACGTGTACACGTGTACGTTAGTAGTTCGTTTTTTTTTTTTTTTTTTTTTTTTTTTTTTTTTTTTTTTTTTTTTTTTTTTTTTTTTTT